ATAAGGATGAAGTAACCATGAAAATCATAAATAATTCAGTACACAATATGTCCTCATGATGTATATATATATAATATATATTTATGTGTGCATATTTAATAATACAACATATCTGGATTGTTCATTATTTTATTTATCATTACTTTTTTGTGTGTGGTAATGGGAATTGAACTCAGGACCTTGTGCTTGGAAGGCAGATGCTGTGCCACTGAGCTATGTCCCTGGCCCTATCATTATTTTTCTTGAAGAAAGTGCTAAATCTTACCTTGCAATTTCATTTAATGACTTTCTAAAAAATACCTCTGTGAGTGCGAAAACACTTTTTTTCTTTATAAAATGTTCTTGTTTGTGGTAGTAATATTTTTTCTACACTAATAATTTCTCAGCAATATCTATCATCAGTTTCACATTTTTATTGTTTTTAACTTAGATAAATATTATTGTTATTTTTGAATAGGCAAATTTATTTTTAACTGAAACAGTATTTTTATCTCAGTAGCAATACTTTGTAGAGAAATGCTATCGTGCCCAAGGATAAATTCACCTATCTTGCTCCAAAATAGTAAAATATTTCTATAAGTGAATGAAACTTACTTACTTATTTGCCATGCATTCCATGGTATTTGGATCCTGAAGTCCTCGTCACAGCCCCTGGACTGCTGGGACTGATCTAAAGGGCTTCTGCAGCCAGCAAATGATGTGCCACTGAGCTACCCCTCAATCATGTCTTGAAATCCTCTATTAGAAATAATTATCAATTAGTGATTTCTTACTGTTTATTTTTTTGAAATTATGTATTATTTTCCACCTTTTTTCTGTTTTTTTCTTTAAATTAAAAAAAGAAATAATGCTAAAAATTATAGTTTTTTTAAAAATAAATTTGTATTTGGCATATTGTGAAAACTGAAAATTATGATTTTGAATTTGAGTCATATAGTTAAATTATTATACAAATAGATACAATAAGAATACATTAATCCAACATGTCTCACTTTTACATGTTTAGTATATTTTATAATGTATTTATTATGTCAGTTATACAGTCACTAGAAAATCTCTAGACGTTAAAAATATTAATTTAATACAGTGTAACACTTCCGATGTTAATAATTTACCATATTACACACTGTGAATGCAGGGAAGGTGCTTCCTGCCGCAGACATGAGACTGGGCTTCTAGCTTTATTTCTTCCAAACCCACACTCCTACTCCTGCTGCTGGTGCTAGAGATTAAACTCAAGTCCATTGCACTGAGCTTCCTTGCCAGTCCATTATTTAGTTTTTAATATGGGCCAGAGTCTTACTAAATCAACTCAACAGGGCTCACATTTAAGATCCTCTTGTCCCACCTTCCCAGAGTGCTCCATTATGGGCATGTACCGCCACTCCCAGCTTAACAATTTTTTTAAGTAAACCTATTAAATATACTTACAACATCTTTACAATAGAAACATGAAATGTCTTTGTCTTTTCAATATGTATCAGGTTGAGTTTTAATCTACAACTTTTGATTTATGAATATTACTTCAAAACATCCCATTGTGGTAGTTGTTTTAATTTAATTTTAAAAAATATTTCTAATATTTTTCTGTCATATCCATAGATACTCTATATTGAGCCAGCTTTGATCTGGAGTTGTACATTGGGATGCAAGGATGATGGATGGTGGGTGCATGGATGCTTGGATGCATGGATAAAATAGGGTATAGAAAAGTATGCCGTCAAATCTGTTCTTCCCTGGACTCTTGCATTAATCTCTGCACTTTCATGGAAAATGGGAACCCTAAAGTAAGTTGCAAAAGTGATAAAAGAAATAGGAAGTTGCAACAGATGCTTGAAAATTTTAAAAATCTTTTAATAGGAACCGTACAGGAAAAATAATTGAAAACTGGCAGCTTCTCTAGATGATCATGAAATTATTTTTCCTTAAAAATAACTAAAAGGAAATGCTGCAGTATATTATGAGTCTTTCTGTTCTATTCTTTCATTATAAGTTATACTGACATTTAATTTCAAAGGCCTTTTGAATTGTCATAATTGAGGCCTGTTGTGTGTTGGTCCTCATCTCCAAGTCTGTGTGCATCTGTGTATGTTGTTAAGGCTGTTTATTAAGATAGTGGCAATGGTTAGGATATTTCCAATCAGTGCAAAGCAGTGGAGAGCCTAGCGAGCAGTGGCCTCTCCAGATCCTTCCTGTGAGAATGGAGGCCACTTATACAGAGTAGTAGTGCCTCAGGCCTGGTAAATGTCACATTAAATATCTGAAGTATTTTAAATAGAAATGTTTAAATATAAACAATTTATTAAAATGGAACACAGATTATTAAATCATTTTTATGCTTATTGTTTTTTTTAAATTAAGTTTATTGGTACAATTTAGATATGTATAATGATGACATTCATTGTAGGGAATTTGTGCTTGCACATGACAGATCTTAGTCCCTCTATTTTCCGCATTCCCTTCCCCTCTCTTCAACCCTTGTTCTCCTCCTTATTTATAAAGCTTTGTTTCCATTTTGTCCTTCTTCTTTCTCATTTTTCTTTCCCCTTCCCTCCTCCCTGCCCAGTACCCCTTTCCTTTTGAACAATTACTTCATATTTCACAATATCTTTTATGCATTTTACTTTCTGTCTGCACTTTCCCAATGCCTGTCAACTAATGAATGGATAAAGAATGTGGCTTTTTATACAATGGAGTACCACTCAGCCATAAAGAAGGATAAACTTGAGACTTTTATAGCTAAATGAATGGACCTTGAGATCATATTCTTTAAGTGAAATAAATTGAACACATCTATGTAAAAATCAGTGTTCTCTAATATGAGCTATTAGATCACTTTTAAAATGAAAATTGAATTATTTACCTAAAAGAATTAAACTTATATAAAGTTTTCCTGACCTTGTGTGACCTACTCTTTCTCAGTCCAGCAAAGCTTGTGGCCACCCTTTTCAGAATGCAGCTTTCTGTGTGTGGAAAGTAAAAGAAGTGGGCTCCCAGGGGCACTGCCTGCACTGGGTTCCGATTGCAGCTGTTTCTGGACGAGTGCTGACATATATAAAGCTCGCAGCGAGTTTTCTGTTATTTCCAACTTTCTATTGCTGCTAGTCAAAGTTATTTTTACCTTAAAGTCAGTATACACTCAAAATGTAAGTGGAAGATCTCAATTCTTATATCTCAATCAGCGAAGAACCTCCTGGGGTCTGGATAATCCATGCAGTGCTGCTTTAAGTTTTCTCTTCAGTAATCTCAAGCCACAGAAAAGTTTCATACTGAGATCAGGGTCATTTCTTGGTATTCTTCAAAAGATATGTTTTCAGAAATTTAAGAAATTCATAGATTGATAGGTGGATATCCCTTGATTATTGTGAATATATGCAGGGATATTATACTAAAAACAGGTTTTTTTTTTATCACATTTATTTCTAAAGAAAAGTATTCTCATGCCAAGAGTATGGTGGCATGGTGCCTGCCTGGCAAGGCTGAGGTCCTGAGTTTGATTCCTGGTTTTAAAAAAAACAAAACAAAAGAAAAATGTTTTCTCTAAAGTAACTCATTGGAAAATTAGAATTGTGTTTTTATACTGTGGTTGACTTTTTTGTTTCTCTCTTCCACCTGTAATTATATGTTTTGTATGAATATACATGTATACATTTAATCCCAGTTATTTTGACAGGTTCTGGATACACTTACATAAAAATATTTAAGTTACTTTGGAATGTCAATTTCATTCTATTACCAGACTTAAATTATTTACAAATTGTTTCACCTATGTGTTTACCCTATACTTTTAAAATATAAAATAATCACAAGATGTGATATAGAATAAATTCAGTAGTGATTTTGTAAAGTCACCTAATCTAATTGTCTATTGGTCTAGAAGTTTGCCATATGATTTATGTCTTTTGGGAAATTGTGTCCTTTTTCTTTCTTTTTTTAATTTTGCTTTAGTTGATGGTAATTTTTCATTTTCAAAAATAAGATTGAAAGACTCACATGTAAAGTAAAAGTCCTTGATGAGTTTAATGTTTGCTTTGCTCACTATAATTAAACATTGCCTTTTGTTGTTCTAATGGGGTGGGAGGTCATAGCTTGACATGGACTGTAATTATTGAGTATAATTATTGAATGTAATTATTACTTGAGTTGTGGAGCCCGAGTTATGCTTTTAGAATTGTTTTACAAATTGTGGAGTTAGTATTAGAAAACAGTTAATGATCACATTAGATGTAAAAGCATTATGCTAAGTTCCAGGCATATAAAAAGCAATCAATGATAGCTTACTTGAATTTAAACATTGTTCCTTCAGCAAGGATTAAATTTAGTATTAGGTCTGTTTGAAGAGAATATGTTGTTTCAGAATTATTACTTCAATCAGTCAGTGCTGATCCTGCAGTGGCTGATGTTGACAGTGCACTGAGATAGGCCAGTTAATCAGTCTTCTGCAGACTAGTTTCTCTTCAGAGCTTCATGTGCTTTATCTCTGCCCAGTTACCCTCTAAACTCATTTTGATGCTTTTCTGTGAATGTTCAGGTGCACAGTGTATCATGATTGTGTTAAAGTCTGTTTATATCTTCGTTAATTGTGATTAATACTGATTAATAACTTCAGAGACTTAAGAATGATGTACAAATTATATGGTTTTACTTCAGTCTTTTGAAAATATTTCAAAAAGTCACTGAATTCTTTTAAAAATAGAAAACAGTGCACATGTTTCATTTAGGGGATGCATTTTTGAAAGCAAGCAGTTTGGTGTTCACTGAATATAAAACTGAGTCACTCCTGCCTGCTTCACTGGGAATCTGTACAAAAGACATAGTTTGGTTCCTTACCAATTCGTAAGAAATTTAGTGTGAATTTACTCAGAATATGTTGGGGAACTTTTTCTTCTACATACTCAAAAATCTTAAAAAATTACCTTCTCAAAGTCATTTGATGCATCATAACCAAATAGCAGAGGGCACTAAAGGTCAACTGAGCTGCTTTGTGACTGACATTTCAGGGATTGTGAAGCAGCAGATAGACAGCCATATCACAGATCCAGATCAACAGAACAGCGGCCTCTCCTTGAGCGGACCACCACCCGCTCCAGATCCACTGAGCGTCCCGACTCAAACCTCATGAGGTCGATGCCTTCATTAATGACGGGAAGATCTGCCCCTCCCTCACCTGCCTTACCGAGGTGAAAGACAAATCAATGGGACTCACTTCCCTTGTGCCCCACCAGCACACCATTTTATTTTCCCAACAGCCAAGTGGTCTCTCTGTCATCTTCGGCTGATCACTGGTCACACTCAGTACTAACCTTTTCAATGTGGACACACTATTTATATTCAGTGGATATAATAGTGTGTGGTGATCATTGTAATTCGTTTCTTAACTGTCCTGACTGCATTTGTTTCGTGATTTCTCATTAATCAGGAGTCCTGGGTGAATCCCCTCCTAACTACTGTATTGTATTCTTCTCCTACACAATGAGAAATTACTTGTGTCCATTAGACATCACTTTTCTAATCATCATAATGACAGTAAACAAAGCTAACTTTTTAGTTTCTTTCTGTCCACACTAACAGTCATGTATTAACTAGTGTTTTCTTTAGTAGAATTTTGAAATAGTCAAGGTTTTATTATAGCTTCATGGAATATCTTCTAATGAAGGGTAAAAAAATCTCTGGATCAAGGAGGGGAGGTTAGTGTTAAAGGAGTTTGAAGTGTAATGGAAAGAAATGTAAACTCTTAGCTTGTTCTTCCAGCTGCTTTCATTTGGATAGCATACTAATTTACATTCATAATTTCATGTATTTATTGTAGGGTTTTGTGTGCATGTATGTGTGTATGTATGCATATTACACAAAAATATAAACATCTTTTTCTACTTAAATAATCATTCAAATACCCATATTTTGTCCTGTTTTCCTAACCTTTTAATCAGCAGCTAAACGTCTTACAATTGCACTTACACAGCCATCACATGAGCCAAACGTATTATACGTATTTTATTCACTGTCCTGAAAGTGAATTTTGATGCTCTGTCTTTTAGATCTCACCCTCGCACTGGGTCTGTGCAGACAAGCCCATCAAGCACTCCCGCGGCAGGACGAAGAGGCCGGCAGCTTCCGCAGCTTCCGTCCAAAGGAACATTGGAGAGAAGTAAGTTTTATTTCTGTTCTGTCACACAGGAAGTACAAGTGGAAGCTCGTGTGAATCATGGTTTTCTTATTAAAACTTTGTGTTAGTTATCTTCTTTTGTTATTCTATGCTTTGGATGCGTTTCACAGTATTTAAATTTATGAATATTACTATATATTTTGCAACTAACATTTGTGATATTTATAAGTAAATATTATTCTTGCACATTTTTCAAATTTAAATAAATGCATTTTAAGAGTAAACTTAGTAGTCTTAAGTAAGCAGATGGATGATATGGCTTTGCTATAATTAAGCTTATGTAATTGCTGATAATAACAAAGTTTATTAGTAACTAGCTAAATTAATTTTCACACACTGCAAAGGACTGGTTAGCTGATGTACAACAATGGTGACCCCTCTCAAAACTGGAGTGCAAGAAAAAGGTAATCATAAATATACAAAGAAAGATGCATGTTGTACTGATGTTTTAAGTAATTTCAGTTTTTTCATAAGAAGCAGTATTTGTTGACACATACACAAACAAACTTCTCCAACATTTATAATTCTCAGATGGAGTACCTTTGTAAGCATGCAAAATAGAATATAATAATTTTTAACATCATTTAAAAAGTAAAGTATACATGCAAATAGATGTATATGTTTAAATCACCACTTATATTTTCTTTAATATATAATACATTTTTTGCCTTTGGAAATTTCTGTTGTTTTAACCCCTGTGCTCTGGTCCCTTTTTTTGTTTTGTTTTTATTTTTGTTTTCCCTAGAAAATGGAGTCAAGGAGATAGAACCTTACGAAGGTCTGTACATAAAGGAGGGTTTGTTTTGTGCTAATAGCCTTTTGGAGGGCTGAGTAAGCAAAAATAAACCCAACTGCAATTGATGTTCCTCCACTAGATGGTTTTATATGCAGCACGATTACTTTGTTTTATGATTTCTAATAAAACACCTTTTACTTGGAAATAATATTGGTGGGCTAAATGTCTTTGTTTCATCAAGAATGCAAAGAATTTACCTTCTTTCAAATGACTAGAAAGTTATTTCCTCTTTTTGCAACATTTGATTTGCCTTTTAAAAATAATTCTGGATTTTATGTAAGAGTTTAAAGTTATCGGGCCGGGGATTTAGCTCAGTGGCGTGAGCGCCTGCCTGGGAAGTGCGAGGTCATGAGTTCAATCCCCGGTACCAAAAAAAAAAAAAAAAAAGAGTTTGAAGGTATCCATTGCAGTCTCTGTTCATGTCATTGAGGATGTACACTTAGTCTAGTTGTATCTATCATCATGTATTACATTTTGTGTTTATGACGGTATTTAATTGCTAAATTTGGCTTTTTAGAAAAGGAAGTTATTGAATTAGTGATTGTAGTTTGTATTTCCTGCATTGTTTTTCATGTAGCAAGACTGCTTATATCATATTAACATAAATATGATATACTTTTATAGTTTTATCGTCAAATGCTACACTGTGACTCAAGATAGAACTGAGTTGTGATGTGTGGACTGATATACATTTATCAGGAGAATGAAAAATACTCTTGCTGGTAGAATTCCGAAGTCATTGGTTGTTTTATTTACTGCTGAATCTCTAGCACACAGAAGAATGCCTGGCAGGTTGTAGGCCCTGAATAAATATTGGTTAAATGAATGCATGAGATGTTTAATCAAAAACTGAAAAATTATCTCAGGTAGTATGTCTTGTGGTTCTGCATTTGCTGTACTGAATTTCATGTTTGTAACAAATTTCTAAATGCATCACATTTGAGCAGCAACATTTTTATTATTTTATATAACTTGATATATGCTGTGTTCTTTAGGTTATGGCTCAATGATTATTGACTTATTTTATGATTCTGTTTATTATGTACCATTATTTTGAACAAACAGTTCTACTGTAATTAATGGCATATTATGCTGTGTGATAAAATTATCTCAACAGGATTCCTATAGTCTCAAAATTATTTGCATGAGACTGAGAGGATATAATTCTAAATTTCTACAAGGAAATTTCACCAGTATCTATGGAATTTTTTTTTGTTTTCTTGAATTTTTTTAAAGATCTGAAGTTTTTTATTGGCATATGAAGTTAGAAACAGATCATGTCACATTTTTAAAAAAACTTTAGTTAATCTTTTGTAACCATAGTCTGTTGAGCTGTCAATAGCTTCATTCTGATGTCACACTAAATACTGGTATGCTCGAAAATGAGCCGTACTGCTCATGCAGAAAGTCAGGGTTGGTAAGCACTAGGGGTTTTCTCAATAAACGTTCTATTTACTATTTGTTTTTCACCTATAGAATGTGTTAAAACCACTAATTTCCTTTAATGTGTCCAATTAGGATTTTTCCATTTTTTGTTTCATGTAAGAAAAGGGAGCCAAAACTTACAATGTTAAATTTTAGTATGAAATGAAAGAGCATTGTTTGTTTTGTTTTACTTTATCCACATAGAGAGCTTTTAAAATATTTTCATAAATATTGATATGGAGACTTTTTCTTAAAAAAAGATAATAAATCTCTTGAGATTTTCACTTTTAAGGGATTTATATGTACAGTAACCCACAATAGACTATTAGTTGTCATTCTAACCCAAATTACATTTAACTGCCTTCTAAAAAGTTGGTCAGAACTTGTATCTTAATGACATTACTTTAAAAATCAAAATACATACAATAATGCATGTTTTCTAACTCTCTTTAGCAAGTAAAATGAGCAAGCTGTATTTTAACTCAATGATTTTGGTTAATTATTTTATAGTATTTGTTAATTAAATTAGCTTAAATTTATATATATTTTAGTTTTGACAGTGGTACTATATTTTGTTATCCTGGCTTTGTTGAAAACTAGAGAACAGAGGGGTGTAGAAAGTATGATATACTTGACTGCTCTAAGGCATTATCATTATTTTAGTTTCCCTAAAGTGATGTACTGCTAGTTTGTAAAAGTAAAAAGTGATAATATTGTTTTTGTTTCTCTGGGACTGAAGTTACATAATATTATTTTTCTAATAATACACCTAGTTGGTAGATAGGTTATTTTGCCTCCTGTACCTAATTAATAACATATTGCAAATATTTTGAGGCCACAGCTTCTGTCTTCTAGGCCATTACCATCATAAAAGAAGACAGTCTGATAACTGGTTAACAGTAAACTTAGGTGGCTTCCATCACATGTCTGAAGCTTTTTTAAAATAATCTGTTGAGTGCTTTATAATTACTCATTATATAATAATGAATATTTTAAAAAGAAATACCACTACATTGTCTATCTGGTCTTATTTTTCTCTTTGCCTTTACTGGTTCAAATGTAGAAGTTTATGAAGAAACCGTGCATGTGGAAGAGGAGGGGGTGGATAAGCAGAGAGAGGAAGTCAAAACAGGTGTGTCTGTGTGTCTAAAAGAAAACATCATGTTTTACAAATGTAACTGGGAAGTTTCTGTAAGAACTTGGGGTCCACATTTACAAATCTACAATGGACAACAAGTTGCCTTTCAGTAGTAGTTATAAATACTAGTTTACTACCCGTGTAGCTTTACCTAATTTTACTAATGAAAATGTATTATGTAAGTTATCTAAACAACTTATCAGATTGTTTTGCCCAACTGGTTGAATATTTTCTTTAACACCTAAAACTTTTGGAGACTGGGATCTTTACCCATTTATTATTTCCTAAAATAGGAGCAATTAATTTCTTTGTGGTGATTCTTCCTTCTGGGTCAATATTATTGTTGTGTTTGACAACTATCATAATTTTCTCCCTTTAGACTCTTCCTACTAAATGGTTTGCAGACACATATATATAAAATTTTTGTCTTTTTGATTAGAATATTCGTATTTATTTTAAAATTGAAAGCATTATATAATCACTTTACTTATTCATGCATTTTAAAAATAAAATTTAACTATTTTTACTTGAAACTCAAAATTGAATCCTACTGTTTTTTAAGCTCTCTCAGGTTTTAAAATTTTAACCATTTTTTGAACAATTCAGAGTGCCTAAATCTATTTTAACAAATCTTTAAGCAGTCGTCATTTTAATTCATGAATAGTGAAGTGTGTGTCTCTTTTCTCTTGATCCCATTGTGAGAAAGCACTGCAGTTCTGTAAGCTGTGCATTAGATATATTTTCATGGGTACTTTCACTAAGTAAAATTTGTAGCTTTACAACCAAAAATGTCTTCAGCTCCAGCTGCTACTTGAGACCCAGTGACTTTTTAGTGTCACAAGAATGAGAAATATCATCAAGGTATATTCAGTTAGAAACAAAGGTAATATTGCTTACAGAGTTACAGAAACATACAGCTGCTTCAATTCGGAATATCTCGTGTTCTAACTACTAGAATTCACACATCTTCCATTTTCCTGGGATCCTGTATGAGTAATATTTTTATAGAACATTGCAGAATGAAATGCATTTTCATTTAGCCGAGCATTTAATGTTATTAACCCATTCTTCTGTGTCCCTTACTAGTTTCCATAAATACTGAACGCCTTCACACTTCATTAGGTGACATCCACAGTGAAGTCATTTTAGGGTTCTGTCATTTTGGGGACTTGATCAGTAGTTAATACACTTCAACTGAGCTTTGTCAACATTATTAAGTCCATTTGCTGAACTAGTTTGTTACATGTGTCTTTCAAAATTAACTAGTAAATTGTACATGAAATTAGCATAAAAGCATTAGAATAATGTAAAATGACTCTATTCCTTGTGTTTGTTTTTATTACTTTTCCTATAAGGTAGGAAATACATACTTTACTTTTGTGTTCATTAATGTGTAGTGTTGTGTTTTGTGCATGGATTGATTGATTTTTCTTGTGTGGAATTTCATTCTTTTGGTGTGCTTGGTTTTTTTCTGGGTTGCTACTGACCAGAATTATTAATCAGTGTTGTTTGCTTTTAACATTGTAAAGACAATGAAGGAGAAACTCTAAGCCAACCTAATAATGGGAAAAAAGGCAAGTCCAGAATGAAGTTCATCGTGCTTTCTGGGTATCAGACACTTTGCAGTGATACTTGTAATGTGCGTGGATATGCTTTTTAAAAATTAGAGTAACTGGGCGTAAGTGTTCATCCTAGTTTATGTTGTCTAATAGTGATAACATGTATTCTTATTTATTTCTGAATATGAACTGCTTCATCTTTCCAATACTTCCCTTATTTACCCTAATACAACTCTTTTTTGTTGAAATTATATGGCACTGGAAAGTTTGGTTTATCATAAAATGTAGCAAGAGTCTAAGGAAAACCGTAAACAGCAATTTGTTAATACATATTTTGAAAAACATAACAGATATTTTTCAATTCCAACCATTATATTCAAATTGAATTGTTTAAAAACTAAATTAAATCTTGCCACAAGGGTGCAGACTTATAATCCTAGCTCTCTGGAGTCAGAGCTCTGGGAAATGTAAGTTCAAACCCAACCCTGGCAAGTTAGTGAGACCCTATCTCATAATAAAAAATAAAAAGTGAACTAGGAAAGTAGCTCAATGTAAAGACTCTAAATTTAATCCCAGTACCACACAAAAAAACACTAAGTTGAACTAATTAAAAATATTTAAAGTAGGCTTTTAAGGTAGACAGCAGAACATTTACGGATTAATGAACAAAAATAATGAACATTTATAGTACATTTATAGTGGATTTTTCAGTTTTATAAGCATTAATTAATATACTGCTTAGACAAGTAAAAAGATGATTGATTATGATACTTGCATGGTTTGCCTATACTTTTTCATGCTTTATTTCTGTAACCAACCAAAACTAAATTCTGTGAAATTAGCTTGTGTTTTATGGTAATTGATAATCAAATATAGTTGTATGTATTGATCTGTGATGCCTGCATTTTAAAATGTTTTATCTCTATCATAAGTTAGGAGTGGGCCAAATGAAAATAGAAACGTTTTTACTTCAGAAACTCAGTCGATGGCCTTCTGTACACAGCTCCTTTTCCTCATCCTTTATGAATGACATCTCCATTGTTCCATAGGAGATCTAATTAGCCTTAAAGTAATTTTATAATTTTTCTTAATGCAAAATGTTAAATACTCATTAATATATATGCTAATATGATTAACAAAAATAATACAACACAATAAAGAAAATGAAATCACATAGTGTAAAGTATGAATATTCTTCATAAACCAAAAATTTAAAAGAGCTCCTAACGTATTTGTCATCTTAAGCTATTTCTTGATTTCCACAATTTTTGTTCAGTATGTAGGAAAGAAAATTTTGATATATATTTAAATATAAACCAGTGATTTAAAAGAGTAAATATATCTTCCTAAATCTTCAGTCATTTATTAGGAGATAGTTTTAAATACATTGAAGCCTGTGGTATATAAGGTGTTTAAATGTTACAAGATAGGATCTGTTTCATAGGCGGTAAGGGGGTTAAAGATTTTAAGGGATTGATGATGTATTCCCTCTTTTGTTTTCTTAACCTCTAGTTGGCCCACAATACCTTCCCATCTTTCACCTCTGTTCTGTTTTCTTGGTATTTTCTTTGATCTTCTATATAAAGATTTTTCAAAACTTCAGTTACTTACACTCATTATGAACTTATTTTTACCACATATAAGAAACCCCATTATGTGTATCCGTCTATGTTTGTAATTATTGAACCTGGAAGAAATTAATGAATAAAAATTTGAAGATGACAAAAGCATATATACACACTAAGGCTCATTTTTAGTTTAATATTTTGATCTTTTGATTGTCTACTTATAGCTAAGGTCTAATTCATTTATCTTTTCCCTTTTGCTATTTCTTTTGGAAGAATATTTTTATATTGTTAATTTTGAATATAATTTATGAGTAAATATAGAGTGACAGGTTATTTTTTTAATTGATTGAAGCATATTTGTGGATCAGGGAAAGTTCTAGAAGTGAGTAGGTGATAGAAGTGTCTCCTGCATATTCAGAGTAAAAGCGAGATAGCAATGACTCTTCTTGCAGCCTTTTACTACAAGCACCCTGGCATCCAGGAGCCCAGTAGACTCATCCCCATGCTACCTTCAGATGGGAAATGCCACGGGGATGCACATGGAAGGTCACTTCATTCTGTGTCTTGGTGCAGAGTACCCACGTGGAACTGGGGAGGGGTGGAATCTCTTTTGCCCTCTAATTAGTGAGGGGCATGATCAGTCCAGAGTAGGCCCACTCTCCATCATTAATGGTCAGATTTCTCAGTACATCAGATGGATTATTGAAATCTCAGATGAACATCTATCTGAGCCGGTATGGCTTTTACTGAAGGCTTGTCATGCCTTCAGTGAGCTAAAATGGGACCGTGTTTATGTCCCGTAGCATAGCACTATAAATTACCGAGAATGGCATTATCAGTGTTTCTATATGCATAATTTATTTTTCATTTTCTTGTGCGTTCTTTCTACAACTAACATTGAGTACATACTGTGTTGCATTCTGACCTAGTTGCTGGAGATATTTGCTTGCTAGATCTCTGCATTTATCAACCTTGCGTTTGTCAGAGGGGGCAATACTAAATAAAAACTAAATAAGATTATTTTAGATACCAATAAGTGCAAAGAAGAAAACTCAAAATAATGGAATATATAGTGCACTACAGAGGAAGTAATTTTTGTCATGTATTTTGAGTGTTGCTATTCTGATAATTTTTGACCAGAACCTGGTTAAAGTGGTGAGAGGGTCCACTTGAAGGTCTGGAGGAAAGACTTTCTGGCAGGAGTGCATCGAGTGTGCAGGTCCTTCGGGGAAGGAGGTGGGCTGTTTCCAGAACAGTGACCGGGTACGTGTGCAGGAAGGGCAGACCCCCATATGTGCCAGCCAGGCCCTAAGTGAGGTGGAGCAGGTGTGCTCTGTGCACCCTTGGAGATCGCAGGTAGGCCTGGATTTCAAGTGCCGGAAATGGAAAGGTTTTGAGTAAAGTGACACAATGCAGCTTCTCTTTTTTTGTAAGAATGATTTAATTGCAATGTTAAGGATAACCTGAAGACTTCAGAGGGAGAAAAGTAGGAGTTTTTCAGTGGATTTTGCAGTAACCTGGGACAGGGCAGTAGAGGCTTACACCGGAGTGGTGAGAAGGGTTGGTTTCTGGATAGACTGAAGAAAGAGCCATCAGAAGCTTCTGACAGATAAGCAAGATGGCATCCAAAATTTGGTTTGTTAAAGTGGAAAAAATAGAGTCTCTACTAATTGGTAAAGGGGAATATGTGAAAGAATAGATTTAGTAGGAAAATGGTACTAGAGGTGTTGTTTGACATCCAAGTTAAAATATGAATTATGCAAGTTACCAGATTAGAAGTTGTGTCTGGATACCAGATTAGAAGTTCTGTGATAGCTGTAATTTTGGGAGCCATCTTTATAAAGAGAGCTAATTAAAACCACGAACT